TCTCTCTCTCTCTCTCTCTCTATGTCCCAGGGTTATGCGCAACTAACTTAACAGCTGCAGTGATTCACTTAACAAAAATGGCAAGAAAAGTCTTATAATGAGGCAAAACTCACTTTACAAATGTCTCTCTTAGCAACAGAAATTAGGGGCTCAATTGTACCGTTTTCCCCAAAATACGACCTACCCTGAAAATAAGTCCTAGCTTGGTTTTTACACATGCACCCAATATAAGCCCTACCCCCCAAAATAAGCCCTAATTAAGATCCCACCCACTCCAGAGTGGATGGGTAAAAATTAAGCTAGGGTGGGAATAGGGGGGTGGAGCTGTCCTACTACTTACCTGTGGACAGGTGTAGCCAGGCCTCACATACCCCGACACCTGCCTTGTTGGCCCATTTCTTCTGCAGCTGGCAAGGCTGGCAAAGGTTTTCCTGAAGGCCTCTGGAGCCGATATGAAAGCTCTGGATCGATCCAAAGCTCCGTTACCGGCTGCAGAGGCCTTGCCGGCCACAGGAGAAGTTCCTGTAGGCCTCTGACAGCGAAAAGGAGGCCAGGAGCAACGTGCACCAGTGAGGTTAGTCAGTGGAGGACGTCCCCCGAAAATAAGACCTGGTGCCTTTTTTTGGTTGCAAAAAGTAAATAAAAATAAGACAGGGTCTTATTTTCGGGGAAACACGTTAGGCGGGCATAGGTTCCCCTGCTTGAGCAGGGGTGTGATGACCCAAAGGGGCGTGGCACAAAAGCAACCAAGTCACAAAAGTAGGTAAAGTCCCTTTCATCCCTCCAACTTGGCCCCCAACGTCCAGTGATCTTCGGCTGGAGAAAAAAACTCTCCCAAGAACAGTTTTTAAAGGGAAGAAATTCAGTCCGAACCCAAAGTACATCTAAATAAAACCCAACATAAACCACAACTGCAGCAATTAACCCGACAGGGCAAAATAAGGAATTGCAGAACTCAAAAGATAACCAAACACACACCGTTGGGAGGATGCCCGGAACCCAGATAAGACTTGACAAACCAAGATAATGCATGCTTTGCTTCCAGCAAGGTGCTGTGCGCAAACACTCTTTTTAAACACTGTTTTCCCAGCTGCAGCTAATGAAGGGAATCAGGGCCCTTTTCTCCCCCGTAATTCACGCAACCCACATTGCTCCCTTCTCCGTTCTTCCCTGTGTGACCTAGGATGAAGAGTGGGGTGGGCCTGGGTCTTCCTCTGACCTCCCCCTTCCTTGTTCTACCTCTTCCCTGCTCTGCCCAGCTGGACTTTGCCCTTCTCCAGTTTCCTCCACAGCCAATGGAGCCACACTCCCGCTCTCTGTCAGCTGTCTGGCCTCCCTCTCAGAATCAGATTCCAACAGGGGCATGACAAGGGGGCTGGGCTAGAAGACCTCTAAGGTCTATTCCAGCTCTATCCTGATTGATTAGTTCTACTTGAAACCCCATTCAACATACAGGTAGTCCTTGGCTTAGGAACCACAACTGTGTTCCAAATGTCTAAGACAGTCGAATAAGTGCCTTTTGCCCCCATTTGGCGACCTTTCTTCACCATCGTTATTGAGCGAATAACTGCTGTCGTTAAGCGAATCTTGCTTCTCCCTTGATTTTTGACTTTTCAAAAAAAAGGGGAATCACGTGACCTCGGGACAGTGCGACCGTCACAAATATGAACCAGGTGCCAAGCATTCTGAATTTTGGTTCCCGTGACCCTGGAGGTGCTACGACGGTTGTTATGAAATAAAACATAGCATCCCTTTCTGGTCACTTGGGAACTGTCACTAAATGCATGGTTTGTAAGTGAAGGACTCAGATAACCGATAATTAGAGTTGGAAGGGACCTTGTAGGTCATCTAGTCCAACCCCCAACCCCAAGCAGGAGACCCTACACCATTTCTGACCGCTGCCAATCTCTTCTTGAAAGCCTCCAGGGATGAAGTTCCCACAAGCTCTGTTCCACTGGTTGATAGTTCTCACTGTCAGAGAAAATCCCTCCTTATTTTCAGGTTGAATCTCTCCTTGTTCAGTTTCCATCTGTTATTCCTTGTCTGGCCTTCAGGTGCCTTGGAAAATAGCTTGACTCCTTCCTCCTCTCTGGGGCAGCCTCTCAAATATTGGAAGATGCTCTCCTGCCTCCCCTGGTCCTTCTCTTCCCTCCACTAGCCAGGCCCAGTTCCTGCAACCGTTCTTCGTCGTATGTTTGAGCCTCCAGTCCCCTCATCATCCTGTTTGCTCCTCATTGACACCCTGTCAACGAGGAGAGGTGATTGTTGTCTTGAGGTGGAGATGAGGCCTTTGTGTGTTGAGCCAATGTTGATCAAGGTTGCTTGGACAATCCCTTAAACATGAGAAAGCTATGTGCGGCGGCAGCCCCAAAATGCTAATACGATCCTGGGTTGTATAAACAGAGGCCTAGAACCAAAATCATGTGAATTATTAGTAACATTTTAATAAAGCCTTACTTCAGTTTAATTTTAGTTTACTTTATTGTCATTGCACCTCGTGCAACAAAATCAAATGCCATCTTCAGTGTACAATTTATGACTATGAAAATAAAACACAAACACACATCCTTCACATTCTATACAATTGAATTGAAGACCCCTGATATTGCATTAATACTGCACTATACAGTAGAATTCAATAGAGCTCCTGCCCTGGGATAGAAACTGTTTTTCAGCCTATTTGTCCTTGTTTTTATTATTATCCTGTACCGTCTGCCAGGTGGTAATAGTTCAAAAAAAGGGGTTCCCAGGATGAGATGGATCTTTGAGGATGTTTTGAACTTTCTTAAGGCAGCGGGAGCTATAAAGCTCTTCCAAAGAGGGGAGAGGGCAACCCAGGATCCTCTGGGCAGTGACGTTAACCCTCTGGAGTGCTGTCCTATCTGCCCATGTGCAATTGGCAAACCCTACAGAGGTGCAGTAAGTTAAGATACTCTCCATGGTGCAGCGGTAGAAGGTCACCAGCAGTTTTCCATCCAGTTGTTTGTTTCCTGAGAAGCCTCAGGTAGCATAATCTCTGCTGGGCCCTTTTGACCAGGGCTGCAATGTGAGCCCCCCCAGGTCAGGTCCTCTTTTATGATGGTGACACCCAGAAACTTAAAACTGGCCACTTGCTCCCCTCGGTCTCCCTGGATAAGCAAGGGCTGGAGGTCTGACCTGTTCCTTCTATACAGTCCACTATCAGCTCCTTGGTCTTATTGGTGTTGAGGACCAAGTTATTGTCTCCACGCCACGAAAGCAACCGTTGGTCCACCTCATCTCGGTAGGCAGACTCACACACACACACTGGAGATGAGTCCCACCGCTGTTGTGTAGTAAGGCCAGTCATGGAATCCTGCGTCCAGTTTTGGTCCCCACATTACAAAAAAGATGTTGGGACTTTGGAAGAAAGTGCAGAGAAAGGCAACAAGGAGGATTAAAGGCCTGGAGGGTTAAAACATATGCATGAATGGTTGCAGAACTAAGCAGAAACTTCCTAACTGAGAGTGAAATTAACCTGTGGAACAGCTTGCCACAAGAAGTTGTAGGTGCTCCATCCCTGGTTTTTTTTTAAAAGAAGAGACTGGACAGTCACTTGTCTGAAATGGAATAGAGTTTCCTGCTTGAGCAGGGGGGTCAGACTAGAAGACCTCTGAAGTCCCTTCCAGCTCTATTCTGATTCTTAGACATCTGAAATTGGTTCAACATCTCTTTGGCTTCCTCTGTTTTCAGGTCCTCCTCATTTTGGTGGCCGTGCAGTCGTCCATCTTCAGCATCTTGGCCAACGGGGGTCAAATTGCTTGCTCCCCACCCTTCTCCTCCAGAGCCCGAGGCCAGCGTAAGTTGTTTTTTTTGGGGGTGGGTGGGGGCGAGTTAAATCAAGATTTCCACAACCTGATCTCCTCTCCATAAGTTGCGATTCCGATTCTTGTAATTCCCAGAATCCTCTGTGCATATTTCCCACAATGCTCTTGTACAACATAGCTTCTCTCAACCTAAATCTGGGCTCTAGATCTGCTAGAACAGAGGTGGGGAATGATGGCCCTTTTATGACTTGTGGACTTCAACTCCCAGAATTCCTTGAGCCCTCATGGCTGCCTCATGAATTCTGGGAGTTGAAGTCCATCATGGCTGCCTCATGAATTCTGGGAGTTGAAGTCCATCACCGCTGGCTGAGAAATTCTGGGCTTTGAAGTCCACCATGGCTGGTTGAGGAATGCTGGGAGTTGAAGTCCATCATTCTTCACCCTGTGCTAGAATAAAACTTCCAGGATGCCCAAAATTTTCTAAGTAAGGTGATGAGAAAAAAAATGGAGTATACTGAAAGAAATGTGGTGATTCATTAGAACTCAATGAGGAATATTTGCAATTAATTGTGATGATCACCTGCACCGTTGAGCCCAAAATTCCTATTGCTATGTGAGAGAGTTAAGTGAGCTTCCCCCACTCCAATTTTATGATCTTTCTTGCCACTGTTGTGAAATGAATCACTACCATCGTTAAGCGAGTCACACAGTTGTTAAGTGAATACGACTTACTCCATTGACCTGGCTTATCGGAAGGTTGCAAAAGGGGATCATGTGACCCCAAGATGCGGCAACCATCAAAAATATGAGTGGGTAGCTAACTGTGGCAAGAAAAGTCTTAAAATGGGAAATGTCTTGCTTAGCAACAGAAATTTCAAGCTCAATTGTGGCCGTAAGTCCAGGCTACCTGTAGTGGGCAGCAAACGCCAGCAGCTCGCAAAGTCAAATGCACCTTCCGCGTATGCAGCGACTACAATTCCCAGCCAGCACGGCCACTGGGAACCATAGTCCAGGAAACTTCCGGAAGGTAGCATCGGGCGGGAGGCAGCTGCTTTCAGAGGACCAGGAGCAAGGGGTGGGATTTGACTGGTTCGGACCGGTTCTATAGAACCGGTTGTTAGGATTCACGCAGTTCAGAGAACCGGCAAATTGTGCCCCTGGTTGGCCCTGCCTCTCTCTGCCCTCCCTGCCTAGTCAGTCCTTATTGCGCATGCGCGACATTGCGTGCATGCCCGACATCGTTGACTGCGTTCTTCCCTGCCCAGTCACTCCTTAAGGCAGTGATGGCGAACCTATGGCATGCATGCCACCTGAGCTCTCTCTGCGGGCACGCCAGCCATCCTGCCAGCCCAGCTTCCCTGCGCATGCATGTGCCTCCCACCGGCCAGCTGCTCTTCGGGTCTCTGCCACACATGCACGAGGTTAGGGCCTTCACCGATCTCCGCAGTTTCCCCGTCAGCGGGCCCTACCTTTCTCCTGCACTCCTGCCACCTGTGCCTTCCCTGATCGCCTCAGGTTCCACCCTCCGCAGGTGCCTCTCTGTGGCAGGAAGAAATTCTGGGTGCGCAGGGACAAATTGCGAGGTTAGGGAAGGCAGGAACGGGGGGGAGGGCACATGTGCAGGGAATGCATGGGGGCAGGGGCGCATGCGCGGAGGGGGCTTGCATTGCGTTTTGGGGATTGGGGCACGCACCTGTGCATTCGCGTGTATGCGCGCATGCTTTGGGCACTTGGCACCAAAAAGGTTAACCATCACTGCCTTAAGGTATTTCTTTTTTTCTCTCCTCCCGACGATCAGCTGTTCCGACGATCAGCTGTTCCGACGATCAGCTGTTTCCAACGATCAGCTGTTTCCGGTGATCAGCTGTTCCGACGATCGGCTGTTCCGACGATCGGCTGTTCTGACGATCAGCTGTTCTGACAATCATGTTCTGACAATCAGCTGTTTTCACCGATCAGCTGTTCCGACGATCAGCTGTGCCAGGATTCCCCTCGCTATCTTACTGCTTCATCCAGGAGGCTATTCTGAGGCCTAGGAGGCAAAAAGGGGTGCTGGGAGGGAGCTTCAAGCCCCCCCCCAACGCTGTTTTTTTGACTTCCTGGGCCCCAAGGAAGCTTTATGGGAGCAAGATGGCTCCCCTGGAGGCTTCCACACGGCAAAAAAAATGGGGGGGTTTACTGCAAAAAGAAAAAAAAAGCCACGACCACCCAGTCACAGGGCCACACCCACCTAGCGATGCCCACAGCACTGGTTGTTAAAAAATTTGAATCCCACCTGATTCCAGGAGACAACTATAATCCTGCTGTTTTTTTTTTCCTCAATCTTTTGCTCCAAGAAATGCACTGCCAGCTCTTGATCCTGGAAACTTTTGTCCTCACGGTGCTGACCAGGATGTATTACCGGAAGCCGGACGACAAACCGGGATGCTGCCTCCGCGAATCTCCAGAGCACATAGCCGAGATCAAGCAATAAGAAGGAGGGTCTGAGACCCAGCCCCCCCCACCTCCAACACATAAAAACCCTGGGGCAAAACGGCCAAATTCCACCGTAAAGGTAGTCCTCAACTTACGACGCCCAAAATGTTACGTCGCTGGGACATTTGTGAGGCAAGCTTTATCCCCATTTTACGGCCTTCTTTGCCGCAGGAGTTAAGCGAATCTGAAAGGGGGAATCATGGAACCATCATAAACGTTGAGTCAGTTAGAATTTTGCCCGGCAGAAACCTCGGTCACCTAGCTACTATCTTTGAAAACATTGATGGAATGAACTTTCAGTTTCCAAGCTGCCGCACTGCTCCCCCTCCTCCCTTTCTGATGGCAACTCTAAAAAGACCATGGGAATATTTGATCAGTTGACATTAGCATCTGAATGTAAGTCATGTGACCCTGAGGAATGCTGCAACGGTCGTAAGTGTGAAAAAAACGGTCGTAAGTCCCTTTCTCCAATGCCGCTGTAACTTCGAATGGCCACTAAGTGAACTGTTATAAGTCCACAAAGAGGTTTGCTGCTGGCTGGTGGCATGAGAGAGAGAAAAAAATCAACCTTTGCGGAGCGACGTTTGGCCTATCGCCACAGGCACGCCTATTGTTAAAAGTGCGCAAAGCTCGCCAAATAAATCTTCGCGTTTTTCTTCTCATCGGAACGAGGCTCTTAAGGTGCCAGCCTGGTGGTCTAACTTTTGTGCTTAGGAACTTGCTGTTTGGGTGGGACAAATCCTTTTGAACTAAAACGAGAAACTGGGATGTTGTGGCTCATTTGTGTGTTTTGTGCAAATATCTCTAAAAAATTGTAGTTGGGAGTAGAAACCGAGGCTCTGAATCCCATCACTCGTATTGACTCCAGACATTCCTGTTCCATTGCCCTTCTGAGGACTGAGTCGGCCTGTCTCCAGAAGGTTCTATCGTGGCCCGCCAGACTCAGAGAGTGAGGAGGTTGGGGAGGAACCTGGGCCAGTCCTGGAGTCTGGGGAAAACTCTGATGGATGCTCTGGTCTGGAGGCAGAGATGGGGCCAGGGCCGTCCAACAGTTATCAGCTGCCTTCAGAGTTGGAGATCAGTGGGGAAGAAGAGCAGCTGGAGCCTGTTCCCAGTGTGTGCATGCACAGAGCTGTCAGGAGAAGGGAACAGTTAAGGAACAAGGGTCGACTTGGGAGTAAAGCCACAGGTGGACGATGAATGGCCCTTCCCATAGGGAATAAAGAGGAATGAAAGGGGGAGTGGGGTTTGCAGGAGACAATTGGTTCGTTAGTGTGGAAGTCTGTTCCTGACTTCTTGCCAAGTAATTGCTGCTACAGTGTGGCGTTTGGAAGCTATCGGCCTGGCAACTCTCCAAGCCTGACGAAGGTCTGTAGTTGTGAACTCTCTTGAAAGATTGTTGGCTGGGGAGGAATTCCCTTTAACCTAAATAAAAAGGGTTTTATCGGGACGGAGTTGGCTTCATGAGGTTGGGGAGCCTGGATCAGAACACCTATTCCGCCGTCCTTCTGAGGACTGAGTCAGCCTGTCTCCAGAAGGTTCTTCTTGACCATAGGAACAACGTTTTTAAAAATAAGATTGGATTCTCTTGAAGGCAAGTCCTGCAGCGACGAAAAAGCCTGCAGGTTATCCATGGGCTTGCAGAGTTCACGCTAAGGCACCCGAGAGTAACACAGAGACTTCGGAGGGAATCCTGGATGACCTCTGAGCTTGGTTGCTTCCTTGCAGACTTTTCACGACCCAACTAGGTAACGTCACCAGTGCTAGAAGTGGGGTTTGTAGAAGGAAGGAAAAGGAAAGAATGAAGAAAGGAAGGGAAGAGAAAGGCAGGAAAGGAAGAGGAAGGGGAAGGAAGGCAGGAAAGGAAGGGAAAAGATGAAGAAAGGAAGGGAAAGGGAAGGCAGGAAAGGAAAAGATGGACGAAGAAAGAAAGAGGAAGGAAGGGAAGGAAGGAGAATGGAAGGGAAAAGAAGGCAGGAAAGGGAAGGAA